CAACCACCACCATCATCATCATCATTATCATCATCCTTCAATTACAAAACTCATATATAACAATAGCGTTTATATTTTGCACTTTCCAAAACGCGCAAACCAAGCCGTATCGTGCGGTTAAGTCATAATCTTTTCGTAAGGTAGCAGTCAATTCTACAGTTTCCTTTTTCTCAGGAAAATACCACTTGCAACTCGAAACATATAAAAAGTTGACGGTTTCAATTTACGCTAGTTTTTCACATCTCTTTTAAACTCTTTTATAAAAATCAAGCACCTGGATATCTCCCTTGCATCTGCGGCCTCTTTGGCCATAAGAATGGCCCAGTTGCTCCTTGTGGCTGGAAACGGCAACATTCCAAACAACACTGACTTCTTCCAACCGTTGGCAGAACCCTTCATTCTAGTGCCCACCCTTCCGGGCATTTCTTTTTTATTCGGTCACTGGGGCGAACATCTTGTTAGCTACCACGACTTCTACCTTTTCGGTATCCAACGGGACATTCTTTTCAACACTAGCAAAAAAGGGACAAAGGCAAACTGGGAGGAAATTTACCAGTTGGAGGGTATGATCCTGGCAGGCACAAGCACCGTTCAGGAGGTGATCCCAAAACAGTGGCCCGGTAATGGCTCCGGCCCACGAGTCAACTACTGCATGTTGGCTATTTGCAAGCATGGTAATTCGTCTCAGATTGAGCATCCATCTTACTATACAGTTATGTGACATGCTCATGGAGCAGTTTTGTCTAGGTTGAACTCTCCAATGATCATTTGCTCTCTTCAAACAGGTGCCTTGTTTAAATGTCCCTGCCGCTTTATCTGGAACACGGGCGGGTAGATTTGAGGTTTATTTTCATCCTGAATTACTGGTTATCTGCGAACCTATTATGACATTAAAAGCCAACCATCTTCCTTATAGGACATGCGACAGTAATGGCCTTCGTCATAATCGCTGAATTCTTATCAGGTATAATCCTCTTCTTGGTCGTTGAAAGACATTTTAGGTAAGCAAAGATGCACCGGTTCCTTAAGCTTAAGTAAAAGGCCGTTTTTAAAAAGTATTTGCAAAAGTTTTAAATCTGACCAATAAATCTTTAGGCAGTGTTCATTCTAGCGAACATTGTGCCCTATTCTTTGTGACCGCTGAGGGAATGCCCACATTTGCTTCCAGGACCAGTTGTTGAAAGGCCTGGGAACCTGATTTACCAATTGTACCGAGCATAGAAACCTTACCAACTGCCAAAATGCATTGAATGTGTGACATCAGCTTCGCCTACTGTGTAATTAAGGATATTTGAAAGTCCAACTAATAATGTGTTACTTAATCAATTTAAGTCGAAGCACCGAAACTTGAAGCATTGGCGTTGTACGAAGATGGAAGATGCACGTGTAATTCTAAGGTGTAGGGTCTGCAGCGGAGCTGGTAAAGCGGAGACTGGAAGGAGATAGCTAATGACAATGAGAGCCTGTTTGGCGACCTTTATGATTTCGGGACTCATCTAGTCGGCCTGACCGTTCGACCGTCGGTTGCGATGGGGTTTACATGTAGGCAAATGCGATTGCTGGCGTGTCGATTAATTTTAAGTGGTAGTAGACTTGCGGTGAATCTACCGCATTCTCTCCCTCTTCTCCAACTAGAACATGTATCATGACCAACTCATTTCCATATGCTTGGCTTCTGAACAACATCTTGTCAATCTTTCACTAGCTTAAATTTCATTTGACTCAACTGTGAAAACCTTGGCGGACCCGGCTGGGTTCAAACCCACTCAATCGAAGGATGGCTTTAGTACAGCCAACGTGTTAGCCAACTGAAGCCCCTTTAAATAAATAACAATGAGCATCATGACGACCGCTTATGCCTTGCCTCTTGGAAGCGAATGAAGACTCACAGCTTTTATCTCAAATGTTTATCTTACATTTTTTGCTTATTTATCCGCATCCACTCGAATAAAAGTTTAATCGCATCCTTCGTATGCTTCTTATGCCTCTTATGCAAGCACACATAAGAAAAATTTACGGCTGCGCACGGGCAATAACAAACTGATTCTCTATCCGGACGACATCAAGCCCAAAGAGCAACCGAAACGCGTTCGACATAGAGAAGAGGTACTTCAAGATTACTCTGCCATTTTAATCGCATCACATCGTTTGCTTCCTTGATCGTTAGACACTTTTAACTGTATATACTATTCTCACTCATAAGCTGAAAGCTGGTCTGCATTTTATATAAAATAACATCAAACTCAGAAGAGTCAGGCTGTTACATTCAAGCGTGCCTGTCAGGCGTCCTTTATTGTCAAAACCTCAAGTAACCTTACCCCTGAATGAGTAGGACATGCATGGATACCGATTATCAAATGCCTTTTGTTTTCGGTCGTACGCACTTTATGACAATGTCGAATTCACTACTGTATATATTTTTAAAGCAGGCGTACATGGCAGGATTTATTGACGTCGATAAATTTTGTGACAGCTTCTCAACTGCATCTTGTTGCTGCATGATGATTATAACTAAGAGAATATAACGGTCGATTGGTCCCTGCGTCCTAAAACTGTTGCTTGTCTATCGTGTACGCCTTTTATCTCTGACGATGGACTCTAGAAAGAGCCCAAAAGCTCAAACAAGCAAAAGTATGATTCCGGTGATCGAAATGCCTTCTACTTCTCTATCTACACACGCACCTGGGATGCGAACAGTTGTCTCAATTCGTGAAAATACAGCAGTTTGAAATTTCACAGAATGACATGAAATAACAGCAAGGATCATAGTTCA